AAATACTCTAAAACCATTAAGTTATCATCGAAGATTAAGGAGTGTTTGAACCCAAGCTCCACTGTTTAGTAAGGCATGAGAACCCGAAGACATACAGTTCTATTTCTATACCCAGGGCCGGGGCTGGCCGACTTGGTCCATAAGGGCTCAGAGAGTAAATGTTTCAGTCTCTGTGGGCTCGAGTGTCTCCGCCACAACTCAACTCTGTGTAGCAGGAAAGCAGCCGTCGACAATAGAGAATGAATGGATGTGGCCGTGTTCTAACACAACTATTTGTCAAAACAGACAGTCGGTCGATTCGGCCCATGAGCTGTCGGTTATGGGTACGGGGCCCACGGGCGTGTTACACACTCCTCCACGTCTGCGTGTGTCAGTGGGAGTGCACATACATGCAGCAGCACACCACACCTCTGCCTGCCTCTTCCCACTGCCTTGGCTCCATCACGGGTGTGTGATAGGTGCAGGCAGATGGGGCCCCGTGTTGAGAAGCCTGCCGTTTAGCACTCTGTGGTCGACCTCTCGAACTTCTTCATGACTATATATTGGCACTTGTGTTTTGTCAGGAAAGTCTGAGGAGGCAGTGGCGCTGCTGCTCGGGTCCGCGGTCTTGTCCCTTCACTGCCTCACAACAGCCCCGAGACGGTCCTCAGACACCTGTTCCCCTGCAGTTCCCTCGTCTGGCCCGAGCTGTGTTATCCTGCCCTGTGTCTCGGGTGGAATCAGGTCATGGGGGTGGTGTGGGGGTGGGGTCGTGTACTGCTGTCATGCTCTGCCTCTGACAGGAGCCCAGATTTGAACCTGGAGAAGATGGGGTTGAGGGTGTGTGCCCCTGACATCACAGGGCAGGACACAGAGGTGGCTACATCCCTGCCTCCGACAACACCCAGTGGCCTCAATATACAGCCTCTGCTTACCCTGATCCAGCTACCAGGTAGGTCTCCCCTCTGCTCACCCCACCCCCCACCCTGGGGAGCCCTGTGCTGGAGGTCATCCGAAGTTAAACAGCAAATAGAAAACACCATAACTGGGCGAAAAAAAGAGAGAGAGAGAGAGAGAGAGAGAGAGAGGGAGAGAGAAAGGGACAGGGGGAGAGAGAAAGGCTATAAAAGAAAGGAAAATTTTTATATTTTAATACCTTTAAAACATCACTTTTCCCCTGCATTTGAAATTACTGCATTTTCTGTTTATACTATGCCCTGGTCAAACCTTTTAGCTCTGAAGAATCACCTTCGGAGATTCATCTACCAGAATGGAAGGTGACAAAGAAACTTTCACTACTTCATCGGCCATAACCTTTGTAATGGGCTTCCAGTTACACTCCCGAATCTTAAACGTAAGACTGAATTAATTACAAAATTTGTCTTTCAGACTCTACAGGGTTCACTTCAGGATATGACTATTGGGGTTGCAACATGGTAGCCCTTTTCCTTCAGACAGTTGGCTCTAGGATTAATTCATATTTCTTTAGAATGATGCTGACGCACCTTATAAATTCAGAGCACAATCAAAATATATGTGTGAAATTCAATGAGACAACAACAGATAAAGAAAGTTGAAATTTTGCTGAGATATCCCTTTATCTCCTGTTAAAGAAGATCAAACCATAACATTCTGACACACAAAAATGCTCCTGTCTGTCTGGTTCTAAAAAAAACAGCCATATGGGGCGCCTGGGTGGCGCAGTCGGTTAAGCGTCCGACTTCAGCCAGGTCGCGATCTCGCGGTCCGTGAGTTCGAGCCCCGCATCGAGCCCCGCATCGGGCTCTGGGCTGATGGCTCAGAGCCTGGAGCCTGTTTCCGATTCTGTGTCTCCCTCTCTTTCTGCCCCTCCCCCGTTCATGCTCTGTCTCTCTGTCCCACAAATAAATAAACGTTGAAAAAAAAATTAAAAAAAAAATAAAATAAATAAAAGCAATCACATTAAAAAAAAAAAAAAACCAGCCATAAAACAGACGTTGTTAAGATGGTCAGAGGAGTGTGAATATGGGCTTGGCATTATCAGATATTAAAGAATTATTGTTGGTATTGTCATGTGTGATGACGACCTGGTGGTTATGAAAAAAAATATCCTTCATAGATGCACACTGAGGGGTTCATGAGTGAAATAACATCATGTCTGAGATCTGCCTCAAATACTTCAGCAAAAGGGGCGACGGGGGAAGAAGACAGAATTCGGGAGAGAAGAGGAAGAAACAGACGACAAAGGCGACAAAAAAGACGAAGGAGGAAGAGAGGAAAAAAAACCCACGAGATCGATGGAATAGAATTGGCAAAATGGTGAGCCTAGGTGATGGAGATGTGGGAGTTCATACTGACATTCTCTTTGTATGTTTTTAAATTCCAGTAATGGAGTGTGTGTGTGTGTGTGTGTGTGTGTGTGTGTGTGTATGTGTACCTGTTGCTTACAAAAAATTTGTAATAAAAATCAGGGTATACAGATTTTTCATTCTCCTCCAAACCAAATGTCTTTTTTTTTTTTTTTTTTTTTTTTTAGTTCAAGAAGCGTCCTCTCGGGCTGGCAGGGCCGCTCTATGCTGATGTGATACAAAGGAGTTGATGGGAAGGATAATCCGCCCATGGGTTCCTGACACAATATAAAGAAGAAAAGGAGAAAGTGGGAGGAAGAGATCGCTATTGTTAGTCCCCTAACCCTTCCTTCTAATTATGCCAGAGTCAAGGCTCGGGTCACAAAGAAAAAGATTTTGGTGCTCAACCATTTGCCCTATTTTGTAGACATCAAAAAAGCTCTTGTTCTTACCACATTCCAATCTCACAGTTTCCCACCTACTTTAAAAATGTATCAAGAGTCCAGATTAACAAAAATATGACTAAAATGACTATATTACAGGGAACACTTTGTTTGTGAAGCTAGAGATGGCCTTCTTGTCATGCTCAATTGCGTGATGTGTAACACTCTAAAAGTTAAATACACTTTATATTATTATAAGTATTTCAGATAAATGCTCGACATGCCCAGCTTTTAAAAGTTGAATGTAAATTTCTCTCTTGAGTGCAGATGGTGGGCAAGCAAAGGAGCTCTTTGGTCTTGCGGACAGAAGGTCAGGTCATGGCTGAAAGACCAAAGAACAATTGCTGCTTTGCTCGTCCAGATCATCCTCGGAATGAGACACCACTCCTTTCTTTTCAGAAACTGTCTGTTTGATACAAAATAGTTACAAAGAGTACCTATAAGATTTCCTCACATTCTGTCCAAGAGAAAATGGTAACGAGCACATCACATCACAAGCATCTTGTAACCATTCCAAGGTTTTATTCCTAACCCTCTGACCTCCTGAGAAGGCACATCTTTATCTAAAAACACTGGAAATCATTATGAAAACTGCTAATGTTTCACTATGTAGCAGGAAATGGTTTACAAATGGAAACGGCTCCTTTTAAAATCCTGCAACCTTAGCCTCCACATCATTGCTGGTTAATTGCCAAGAGCTATAAGCTCTGAAAGACAAATACTACAGACACTTCTACACGTTATTCATTTACAAGTGATATGCTAATCTTATTATTCCTATAGTGTTTTTTCTCTCTGGAACATTATCCTGTAATTTTAAATAACTCAGACACTCTTCCTATTTGTTTTTCCAGTTAGTCCAAGATGTTATATTGGGCAGATGCTATAAAATACTATTACAAAAGTATATAATAATGCTAGTGAGCAAACCAAGATGATACCCTTAAAAAAAAAAAAGTCATAATACATCAGGAAAGGAAAAGAAAGGAAAGGAAAGGAAAGGAAAGGAAAGGAAAGGAAAGGAAAGGAAAG